CATAACTTTATCCTCTTTTTTAAAACTAAAATTGGTGGGATATAAAGGAATTCTTAATATCCATTTTTTACGATAATAGCTTGGGCCACGACGGAATTAACAATGGAATTTATATTTTCGTTTGGGCAACGTTAACCACTGAGCTAAGCTTCTAAAGAGAATTTATATGCGATATATAACCATAAAAATCAAATTTGACCTTATATTACTTCTTAAACTTATTTAGATAAGTACATTTGTGAATCATGTAATACTCTATTGAAGAAGCTGTTTTACATTCCTCAGTTTAAAAAATTTAATGAATTTTAACAAGTGTGACTAGTATAGGGAAAATTGCCAAAGACTTAATGAGATATGAAATTGGAAGGATCAATTCCATTTGACTTGAAAGTGAAATTTGAAGTATCAATTCCCTTTGATATGTAATAGTCTTTCTCTGCATTTTCTACCCTAGATTGAAACATTGACCATTCCTTTTCACATCTCTCTCTCACCTGTAACCACAAAACACAAGCTCGATTAAAGTTTTGTTTGAACACGCAATTGGATAAATGCAACAGAGAAGAGAATTGCTTACTCCTCGCCATGCAGCCTTCCCGTCTTTTGCTTGCCCCTAAAATACAACAGACAATTAAATGGTTGCTTTAGGTTTGTGGATGTGATCAATTTAACATATCAATAGACGACTACATTCAATCCACCAGTTACCTCATTTCCAAGGGAAGGGACACTTTGATGAAGAATCCATTGAGCATCAACAACTCCAATTTTCTCATGAGCAGGCTACAAAAAGAGAATGTACAACCATGTAATGATTTGGTGCTAAGACAAAATGCATGTGAAATAAAGTATTCAATAGATCGAATTTTCATTCAATGAGCTGAACTTACTTCAACACATTTATGAACGGCAAAGTCAAGTCCCCAACCATGGATCAAGTCATTCTACAAGTGACAAAACAATACAGTCAATCTCAACAAAACAGAATGTCTATGATCTTCTCTATGTTTAATGTGCAAGGTGAGGTACCTGAATCATATGCCACACACAACGCCATGCATCTCGAGAAAAGACAGGAGCCATGATCTCTACAAATCTGAAAACAGAGAACATACACCCGGGGTTAGAAGGACAACTTAACAAGTGAAACAAAATAGCAAAAACAGGAGAGTTATTCATACGCTGCACACGGAGGCAAATGAGGGTCTGAGCATTTGCCTGGTTTCTCTTCTGTTATCCTGATCAGATGAAGCAAGAATAAGAATAATAACTATAGAGAAAACATCAAGAAGTACATAACAGATAACTCGTGGCTCTTACGTATGAACTTCACCATTGCCTCTTCTAATTGTCATTGGCCATGTTGTTCCTTTTCTGGGATCCAAACCTGGCTGTGAAATTTCCAAACCATGCTTCTTGACAAGTTTAATGTACCTGAGGTTGGACGGATCAATTCAGGAAAACTAAGATATTGGATCAAATCAGGCTGTTAATCAATCACAGAAAATTACACGAAACTTACTCGTTGGCATCAAAATGCTCAACTCCTAGGTCTTCATCCCAGATAAAAATATAATCATATGGGGCAACTATGTCTGGATGCAGAAACCTTTTCGCATACCACCTAATAAAGACATAAAGTTCTTGTCACTAACAAAGTTGATCACATTTCCAGTCCAAAGCTACACTATCATATTACTTACCATTTTGTTTGTTTAAGAGCACTCACGTGGATGGCTCGTTTTGACCACTCAAATTCATCCCATTCAGTTGTCTTACCATCATAGTGAAAAAGAAGAATCGTGAAGTCGTCTGAGAACTGCACATGAAAAATGGTCAGGATGACGAGGAATTGGAACCTATGAAAGCAAAACAGACTGATATACCTTCTTTACAGCAGCATCAATGTTATGTTTCTGCTTAACACCCACAGTAAATGTTACCAGACATTTTGGCTTACTAGGTAGATCCTGCAGATGAAATTCGATAAGAAGCTACATTTTCTTGATTTGTCAGTTGAATGTTTCATTCTTAAGGCTCAGAAATGGAAACAGAACACTTACCTCACTGGGGTTTCCCCACAATCTTCGGAGATAGTAGTCGGACTCAGAAGCAACGAGCCCTGGAGGTAATCTTTCTGCTCCTTTTGGGTTTGAAGGGACCCAAATCTGTTCAGAACAAGGATGACTATGAGATGAAAAATGTGAATAATCTCAAACATCAAACAATGTCACTCAATGTGCATACAAACTCTTTCCAAAGGAAAATAGCTAGAAAGATATACCTTCAATTGCTCTGTAGCATTCTGAATTTTGATCGAAGAATCCGTATGATTTTGAGATGAAACAATATTATTTCTGTCTCTAGCAATTGGGAAGTTGCTTACAATACTAGCTGTTATATTTAGCTGCAAAAGAAGTAGTATTATTGTACATAGGAAAAATACAGAACTACACAAGTAAAATCACGATATGATTGTATAAAAAGGGACATTATATCATCCATACCTTTGTTAATGAGCTAGTGGAAAATGAAATTCCAATGAATAAACCAAACATTACTCCACAAGCAACGGAGAAGATAAGCCTCATAGTTTCAGCTGACTTTAAAGAACTGGAACTGCAGAACATATTTCAAGAGTTAGACAAACTAACATCATGGAACAGACAACAACATCACAAACTTGGTATGATCACATGATTTTAACGAACCTTCGTCCAAAGTTCTTCATGTATAAGTACAACCAAAGAAGCTTTACTGAACCCCAAGTAAGTTAATTTTCAGTAGAGAGCGCAAACTTAACAATGGCACGAAGAAGCTGAAATATCAAAAGAAAAGTTGCACCATCAAGCAAAAAAAGAGATGATTTTTATACTAGTCAAAACAGGATGCTCAGTTGTGCAAAGTCAAGAAGACATCACTGCATCCACACTCATGTAACTTTACAATCCACAAGCAAACATATTTTAATTGTTATAGCAAGTTACCATCAACACAAGACATAAAAGAACTAAGTTTAAAAAATAAAAATCAACTCTTGCTAGCTAAACAAATATAACCATAAAAACACACAAAGATTACACCTTTTACAATCCACAAGCAACTAAAAAATTTGGCCATGTGCCTGGCTTTTGACTATAGCAACTTGAACAACCCCCCACCCCCCATAGATCAATCACTAGCTAATTTCAATTCCTTAATTCTTACTCCAATTTTATGCATATAACTTATTGCTATAGTAAAATTTCATAGTTGATCATAAGCTTTTGTCACACGTTAAAAGTTAGTGTAGCAATAGTAACATTTAGTTGTCACAATGGCTAAATACACAGGTGGGCCCCTAAACCTGTTCAATACTTGCAGTTTGATATCTAAGGATAGGCTTACTCAATAATTCAAAAGCTCTTGAGCCTTACTATAAGAAAATATGTAACACAAAATCTCTATTTATAATAATACTAACAAATCAAATTAGATTAGGAATAGAAAACGTGTTCCAATATAAATTAGGACAAATAAGTTCTAATTAGACATGAATTAAATAAATACTTACCAAATAACAAATCCTAAACAAATTAGAATTTCTATTCTTGATTTATTTTCTACCTCCCTTAAATCAATAACCAAATAGGGTATTTGGTAATCACTGATCAAGTTTATCCAAATAGTTGAGGTTTGATTAATCTACTATTTCCAAATTCTCCTGCAGGCACTAATGTGATGGTTGTTATGTATTGTTTCATAATGCATTATATTATATTATATTGTGTTGTATTGTATCGTTCTGTATTATTTTAATAAATATAATGTTTGGATAGATTATATCGATTTCCATCGTTATAAAATATCATAATTCATAATTTGAATATGAATCATTAACCTACAAGAAATTGTTGGATTACGGAGTAGAGCTACTATGAAAGGTAGGATAAATGAAAAAATAAAATTATTAAATAATAAGTAAAGACAAATGAGAAGAAAATATTAAAGTAACGACACGAACACACCAAATCGGTGGTTACACAATGAATCTTTTTATTTTATTGTTACCTAACGATGGCAAAAACTAGGTGATAATTTTTTTTTGATGTATTCAACATTTTTTTTGTTATGGAAGAGAGAAATGTTGGGATTTATTTTACGCCATAATTTGATGAAGATTCTTAATTTATTGGTATTAGAGCTTCTGTTACAACATTAAAATTGGGATTGAAATTATTTATTATGATCCCATAAAATCTTCTTATATTACTGCAAAGTCCTAACAATTGATACACCAAAAAATCTTTATCTATTAACTCCAAACACATTTTGATTTCAAATATTGTTCAATTCGCTCATTTGACACCACTATTCAAACCTTACCAAAACTTTAACGGAGTTACTTTTTTATTTTTGTCCGCCATGAAAGTCACTCCCAAGAAACCTCATTTCTTCAAACCCATTTTGCCAGGTTTCAAGGATAGTCTAGTAAGTATTTCATCTTTCCTTGATTTTTTGTTTATCAGAGAAAAGATCAAAAACATAAACTAAATGAATTTTTCTTTTATCGATTATTTGGCTAGAAAATAGTAGATGGATTCAGGATTTAAATTTGATGTGTTAACCTTTAAGATTAATACTACATTATGTTATATTGCAGAAAATTCCTGTAAATTTCTTGAAGTATCTGAAGGGACACAAGCATATGAAAAATGCAATACTGAGGAGCGCGGGTAAGAGGTGGGTGGTGAAGGTGAAGCGCGGACGACTAGAAGATAACTGGAAAATATTTGTAGAGGATGTTAATCTTCAATTGGGAGATATTTTAGTGTTTAGACATGAAGGAGATATGGTGTTTGATGTTTCCATTTTTGATTCGACTCATTGTGAGATAGTATCTATAAGAAAAACACAATGCCTTCTCTGTCTTTCTCACAAAGTGCGCATCATAGAGTGCTCACACAAAGGACAAAGGTCGTAGGTTTTCCAAAAGTAATTATGTATGATACTATTAAAGAAGCTCTATAATATACTTTCCTTTAAAAATTTATTGTGTATCATAACAACAACTAACAGCTAACAATTTTACAAGATGGAGCCACCTATAATCCTAGGCAAAATTGTCAGGACTCTTTGTATACTGTCAACTTGATCATGTTGACTTAATGAGATGTCAAATTAGAAGGATCAACTCCTATAGACTTGAAATAGGCTTTCTCTGCATTTGCTATTCTAGTTTGAAACATTTTCCATTCCTTTCTACATCTATCCCTCACCTGCCACAACAAACACAAGATCAATGAATCACACAATAATTCATTCGCTTCGCGTTTTAAAGTGGAAAAGGATGAAACACAAAGTACCAATATAACAAATGTTAACATAGAATTACTTACCCCTTTCCAAGGAGCCTTTCCATCTTTTGCTTCTCCCTGTATAGAGTGAATGAGGAAAGGGCGATAATTATGTTAGATGCCTAAATTAACGATCACTTAAGGTTTCCCATGAGTACTCAATAATTTGTGGGGAATGTAGTATCAATAGTTTGCTTCATTCACTTACCTCATTTCCAAGAGAAGGGAGACCCTGATGAACGATCCATTGGGAATCTACGACTCCAATTTTCTTATGAGCAGGCTTCAAAGAGAATATACAGTTAGAGCCTTTGAATAATTTTGGTACTAAGACAAATGCATGTGAAAGAAAGTTGCCAAGAGACTGAATTCATTGGATAAGCTGAACTTACGTCAACACATTTACGAAGAGCAAAGTCAAGTCCCCAACCATGGACTAAATCATTCTACAAGTGATAAAACAACACAAAGTCAATCTCAAAAAATGTATAATGTCTCAGACCTTCTCGATGTTTAATGTGCAAGGTGTGATACCTGAATCATATACCACACACAACGCCATGCATCTCGGGAAAAGACTGGAGCCATGATCTCTACAAATCTGAAAATAGAGAAGAGTAGATGATAAGAACAAGTAAAGAACTGAAAAAAAAATAACAAACAGGAGAGCTATTCATACGCTGCACAAGGAGGCAAATGGGGATCTGCGCACCAGCCTGGTTTCTCTTCTGTTGTCCTGATGAGATGAATCAAGAAAAAGAAGAATAAACAGAGAGAAACCCAAATATCAAGAAGTACAGTACAGTTTAAAGGATGAAAAAAAGAAAGAGGACTTGTGAATAAATAATATCATGGGATTCCTGACTCTTACGTGTGAACTTCACGATCACCTCTTCTCTTTGTCATCTGCCATGTTGTTCCTCTCCTGGGATCCAAACCTGGCTGTGAAATTTCTAAACCATGCTTCTTGACAAGTTTAATGTACCTGGGGTTAGACAGACAATTCAGAAAAACTAAGACATTGAGTCAAATCAGGCTGTTAATCACAGGAAATACACGAAACTTACTCCTTGGCATCGAAATGCTCAACTCCTAGATCTTCATCCCAGATAAAAATATAGTCATATGGGGCAACTATGTCTGGATGCAGAAACCTTTTCGCGTACCACCTTATAAAGAGGTAAAGTTCTTGTCACTAACATGGTTTAAAGCAGCACTTAAAGTTGATCATAGTTCCAGTACAAAGCTACTTTTTATCATATTACTTACCATTTTGTTTGTTTCCGAACACTCACGTGGATGGCTTTTTTTGACCACTCAAATTCATCCCATTCAGTTGTCTTACCATCATAGTGAAAAAGAAGAATTGTGAAGTCGTCTGAGAACTGCACAGAGAAAATGGTCAGGATGAGGAGGAATTGGGAATAAGAGAGATGAGGAGGAACCTATGAAAGCAAAACAGATTGATATACCTTCTTTACAGCAGCATCAATGTTATACTTCTGCTTAATACCGACAGTAAATGTTACCAGATATTTTGGCTTGCTTTGTAGGTCCTGCAGATAAAATATGATAAGAAGCTGCCTCTTCCCAAAAAAAATCCTGGATTCGTCAGTAAAATGTCTTCATTAAACTATTAAAAAAAAGTTCTTCATTCTTAAGGTATGCAAATTGCAACTGCCTTTATCTGGATTAAGGTTGGGGGGAACAAATAAAATAAAGTTTTTGATAAGGAAGACACTAAGATTTTTTCTAGATCAAAATCAACCCAGGACGGAGGTGGGTAACAAAGGACAAAGTTTGATCCTAAAAGTAACAGGCAAAAAGATGAGTTTTTTTAACCTTATAAGAGAGTATTATGCTACAAGCTCAAGTGACAAGAAATAATTGTGACGTGTCCTAACATATTAATTATCCAACATTTCGTAAGATGTATTATATCTAGATTTGCAGAACAGAGGTAAATTCTATACTTCCGATTTTTGCCAAGCAATTCTGAACGAGCTGGACCAATAGAATGGATCTAAGTAAAGAAATAAGTAGTTTTAAGTACCCATCATTCATGGGTCAGCACCTGAGGCCAAGAGTGTAGGTCTATATAGTTCATACAGAAGTTGTAACAGAGCACTTACCTCACTGGGTTTTCCCCACAATCTCCGGGGATAGTAGTCGGATTCAGAAGCAACGATCCGTGGCGGTAATCTTTCTGCTCCCCTTGGGTTTGATGGGACCCAAATCTGATCAGAACACAGATGACTATCAGATTAAAATGTGATTTTGTCTTAGCTTGCATAATCTCAATCATCAACACCCAGTCACATACATAAAGAAGTAAAGAAGATAAAATTGGAGAAGGTTTATTCGACAGCACTTAAAAGTCGTAGAAAAGTGTAGACAACAAAGTGAGAATAACATTGAACGGGCAGTAGGTAAAGAGGATAAAACAAATATGTTAAATCAAGAACAATCAATTAAAAAGGACATGCTGAAAAAAATCCTGTCACAGGTAACTCTGCTAGAGAAGAAAGGAAGTATAGATTAAAACATGCAAAATGCTTGAACTTGCCAATGTAGCTTTCTAGAAAACTCAAACACTCCTAGACTCACTCGTCACTAATAATACAGATAGGACTAAAGAGTAGATTCTTTCAATCATCCAGCCTAGACTGATTTTCAGCAATTACAAATGTCAACTACGACAAACATGTGTCTTCCGTTTACCTAAATATGAAGCAAAAGCATATACCAGATGTGCAACTTAAAAGTTATATTGAGAAAAGAAAAGGTTAGAAGATCATTATGCATTGTTATCAGTTGCTATGAAGGATAGGCTTGAATTTAAAATGTATAGCTTCAACAACAGTGTTGAGGACTGTCCCCAGAGCTTTGGTCTTGCTCTCTAACAGTGCAGTGCAAGATGTGTTAGTTAGGCGCATGTCATGGGTTCAAAAAAGCCTAGTATTTAAGTGGAGAAGGGTAGAGGGTCGGGTCCATTATCCACGGAGTTTTGAATTGCATTGCACTGGCCCTCGGGAATTCTTAGTTATCCAAAAAAAAAAAAATGTTGATGACTATATATTCAGCTCAAGCAGGGATCTATGGAAAATCATCTGCCACTCAATGTGCATACAAACTCTTTTAAACAGATGCATATTACATGAATAGTGAGTATCCAAAAGTACATCTTCATTTACTTAAAGAGACCTATTCTCCTTGCTATATTCCATACTCAAGAACATGACGGGTTAAAATTTCTATAAAATTGTCACTTCTGGAAGAAATGCAGAAAGAAGGTGTACGAGAATAAATATCATTTGCAGCAAAATAATAGTTCATACTGCTCGCCAAAACCGAAAATTATCTTAAACATAAAATCAATTTTGTGTGTGCTGACAAGGAAGGATATACCTTCAACTGATCTGTAGCATTCTGAATTTTGATCGAAGGATCTGCAGGCTTTTGGTCTGAAACAACATTATTTCTGTCTCTAGCAATAGGGAAGTTGCTTACAATACTGGATGTTATGTTTAGCTGCCAAATTGGAACCAAAAGAAATTGTATATGTCAAATTACAGCACTGCACAAATGAGACCACTATATGAGGGTATGAAAATGGAGGGCATTTGCCAAACCTTGGTTAATGAACTAGATGGAAATGAAATTCCAATGATTAAGCCAAAAATGATTCCGCAGCAAACGGAGAGCATAAGCCTCATAGTTTCAGTAGATTTTAAGGAATTGGACCTACAGAACATGCTTCAATAGTTAGACAAACTACTATCATGTGACAGACAACAACGTCACAAACTTGGTAGTATTTTTTATCACAAGAAAAGCTGAAATTTAACAAACCCGCGTCCAAAACTCCTCATGTTAGATACAGTATCTGAATTGATAAGTACAACCAAAGTAGTCAAAGAAACTTTACTGAACCCCAGGTAAGTTTATTAGCTTTACTGAACCCCAACTAAGTTATTAGAAACCAGCTTTCAGTAAGGAGCGAACATAACAATGGCACAAAGAACCTGAAATATCAAAAGAAAAGTATGATCTGCACGGCAATCACGAAGTTAAAATGCATCACCCACCAAATATATTTGAAGTAAATTATATTTTCTTCAAACTCTTCTAAAATAATGCATTTGAAATTAAAGATAATAATACTTTCTTGAAATACTTCTTGAAAATAATGCACTTAAAACTAAATATACTTTCTTGAAACTTTTTTTAAAATCTTGAACATACTTTATTTGTGAAATTAATGCATATGCAATACTACGATAAGGTTTTCAAAATAACTTTGATTAGAAAGGGGTCCATGTGGTATAATAAGCATGAACCCTGAATCAATAATCATTATTGACATTAAGTACCATAATTTTGATGATAAAATCAAGAATCAATGATAAGAGAAAAAGGAATTCAAAAAGAAAAAATAGAGTGAGCAAGATTACGAGCCTTGGATTTCACAGATACAAAACCTTAGCTTCAAATTAGAAATTAACTACCTTGACTCAAGCTCTTAGCATCTCATCCTCCTCCATAAAATACAAACTCAAAGAGTAAAAGTTTCGTAACCAACAAAGAACTGTTAAAAAAATTCCCCGTACACTAGATTGCCTCCGTGCTAAAACCTTAAACGCCAGCAAAGACCAAACAAGTGCCTCACTTAACTATACAATCCACAAGCAACTAGAAAATTGGTCATGTGCCTGCCTTTTGACTATAGCAGCTTGAATAGCCTCTCTACCTCCACCCCACCCACCCTAGATCAAGCACTAGCCTAATTTCAATTCTTCAATTCTGTGTCCCCAAAAACAAGACACTGTGTGCCTTATTTGACTCATTCCTCACATTAAAGCTATTCAATAAATTCACCCCATCTTTCAAAACACATAGCAAGGATTGATTTCTCAGATGCTCAATCAACTAATAGTTATTATCTCAAAAAGTCACCTTTCTTTCTTGATTCCAATTTTCTTCAACAAAGAAACCAATTTTCCAAAATAATACTCCTATTAATTGAACGACCATACGAGAAATCAACTCGAAATAGCAGTACATATAACGTAATAATATATTCTCCTCTACATAAGTTATATCATAAACAGACAAACAAATTAATTATCACAGCAAAATTCCCATCAAACACTAAATACAAAAGCACAAAACAACAATAAAAATAAAAAACCAACTCTAGCCAGCTAAACATATATAACTCATAAAAACACACAAAGATCACACCTTTAAAACATATAAATGCAAAAAGCACAGCTTTCTCAGAAAATTACCTGTAAATAAGCAAACCCCAGAAAAATCTTGAAGAGAAACAACAAATTTGCCCACTTCTTGATTTTCAGAGGAAAAAAGAAGTTGGATTTAGCTAATACAACACCTTTTAGCTAATGTTAACCTTGTGGGTATCTATAAATAGGTGAAATATAACCAAACAGAAGCAAGAAAAATCTTTGAAAGGGTGAAGAAAATTGTGAAGTAGTAAGCACAAAACTTGTGTTTTATTGACAGAGAAACAAGGGGAAAAGTATAAGCATAAAAGAGGTAGAATTGCTTTTATTTACTTCTCTTTTTTTTTCCTATATAATAAAAAGTCTGTTTAAGGTTTTGATTATTTAGTGTTTGCTTTGGATTATAGTTAAACTACAAATTTGTAGTTAATGTTTAAGCTTAATATAGGAGAACATTTAAAATTGACTAGGTTAAGTAACGGTTTAATTTGAGTCCTAAAGTAGAGACTTTTTTCACATAATATTAAATTAGGGATTAAAATAGTAATTTTCAGGTGATGATGTGTTTGGTTCTAATTTGGTTTTTTAATTAGTGTGTGCCTTTTAATTCGATGACGTGGAGGAAAAAAGGCAATTCCTATTGGCTGGTTATTTATTTTACGTTTGCACAAATATTTTTTCTTTGGTGGTGTCTCAGGTTCAATATTCGTATTAAAGTCCGACTATTTCAGATTCGTACTGCATATGACTCTATTAGAAGAAAAATGTTTCCTACTAAAAAATATCATATTCAAGACTCAAATTCAAAATTTCTGATAAAAAAGGAGCAGTCAACACCATATTCTTTTATGATGACAAATATTTTTATTTTTTAAGGCGGAAAGGAATATGTGTACGTCAAAAGAGTATTATGATAGTATTTATTTATTGAGTCAACTAATTCTTTTGTAGACAAAAAGAAGTCTTATATTTTTTAATCATAGTTTTTTTTTAAATAGATGTTTTGACAATTTAAGAAAATGATATTTGAACTCACAAAATTTTTATATATTTGCACTTTAATAATTAGGATTTAATTCCCACCTTCTAATTCCCTTTTTTTATCGAGAATTTTTTTTTGAAAAAGGGGTAGTATTATTTTTATATCACTAAGTACCAAAATATAGAATTTTCTAGTACAAACTATAAGTTGGAAAGAGTGTCAATATATGATGAAAACATATCTAACAACTTAGATCTTTTAACTTTTGAATCAATGGGCCAAGGTTTCAATGTACTTTTTGTATGAGCAATCAATAAATATATTGGGAAAATACATAAAAAATCCCCTGAACTTGGCACGAAAATTTACTTTATTACTTAAAATTTACGGGTAATTATTTACCCCCTTAACATATTTGAAGTGAATTAATATCACCCTAAAAATATAATACCAATCTCAAGTTGGCAAGTGTATTACACACGCGCCACGTCATTGACACATTAGAATCACATAAGCGCCACGTCATAGCCACATTGGAAATTCTCTAAAATTTGATTTTTGATTTTTTAAATTCATTTCTTTCTTTCCATTTCAGAATATTTAAATACTAGTTAATCTTTAGTTCTTAATTAGTTTAAGAAATATTGAAATCATTAGCAGTGATTTTTTTTCAATACTCAACGTCATTTACTGCCATGTCGATTGTCGGTGTTCTTCATTTTTTTTATTTTTATATACTAATCAAGGTCTAATTCTTAACTAATTCAAGAAAAAACACATTTATTTGTAGTGATTTTTTTAAAAAAAAAAAAACTTTCTCTACCCATTGCTTCAATCGCCATTGTCAACCATTAACATTATAGATCGGTTAACAAAACCTCATCTTCTTTTATGCCAAAGTTTTTCTTTTTCAAAAAACTTCATAACTTTTTAAAAAAGATCAAATTTCCAAAGTAAAGAGTAAAAAAATTATGTGGGTCTTGAATGTGATTCTTTTTGTTTATGTGTTTAACGAGAAAATATACTTTGAATGTAGAGTTTGAAGAAGGAGAAAGAGGATGGGGTGGGGTGGGGTGGGGATAGGGTGGTGGGGAGTTTGAGGAAGAAAAGACAAGCAGGTAGGAGGGGTAGGTGGGGTTTTGAGAAAGCGGGGTGGCTGGTTTGAAGAAGAAGAAGAATGGGGTGGATGGATTTCTTTTTTTTTTCATTATTTATATAAAGTGGGATCATTACTTTTTAAAAAAAATAACTTAACGCGCTTTCAAAAAAAATTCTTTTCTTTTTTGGCCACGTCATCCGTTAGGATGGTATTAAATTCATGCAAAATGAGATAAGGGGGGTAAATAATTACCTGTAAAGTTTAAGTACTAAAGTAAGTTTTCGTGCTAAGTTCAGGGGGTTTTTATGTATTTTCCCAAATATATTTATATAAGTATCATGATTTTGATACTATGATTACTGCCCTATTAATTAGGTAAATAAAGAAAAATAGATACATATTAGGTAACCAATACTTGCATAGCAATTCCTCCTCCTTTATTTTTGCCTGATGGGACATATATTTTAGAGGAATTTAGGTAAACTATAAAACATTATTAATTACTTAGGCATTGTTCGGTATGTGGGTGCATAAGAATAACAAATCTCATGAAATATTTCATTTTATGAGATATTCTGATAAATCTTATCTCACATATTTAATAATCACTTAACTTTATAAAGCTTTAAATGAAATATATATATATTATTGATAGGGGTCAGAAGCATGGATGATCACTCAACTTTATCAAGTTACTTCATTATCATTATATTTTCAGAAACATAATTTTCGATACATATTTAATGATGTGACAACTATAAAAAAAATAATTAATATATATGTTAAAATTTTAAAATTAATATTTAATTAACGAAGAATAACAAGAAAAATAAAAACAACTTAAAGAACAAAAGAAAAATAGATTGAGAACAAAATATTTTATTCTAAAATTTTACAATTATCACGTTATTAAATAGCTATTGAAAAATATATTTTTTAAAATAATGATCACAAAAATTGACTTAACAAAGTCGAGTGACTATTAGGATCAATTATCCAAAATTGAATGATCATCTAAACTTCTAACTATGATCGGTGGATGGAGTGACAAAGTAAGGGATTACTAAAGTCACAACTCACAATATTACAAAGGATCAATATATTTATAAATTACCTCACAGCCTAGAGATCACACTTTATATTCTTCCATTAAACTTATTTTATTATTATTATTTTAAACTTTAATTAGAGTTTTTTCTTTCCTTCATATGATTTGCAAATCACTTCTCATAAATCATAATTAGAGTAAAGAAACATTTTGGCCAAGATGGAGATTCAAGAATACAAAAGTTAATGTTCCAACAAATTTAAAGCCACTTTTTTTCAGAATGGGGGGGGGGGGGGGAGGGGGAGGGGGAATCAAATAAATATTGACTAATAAAAGTATCCAATGGTTCATTAAAGGGTGAAAGTAATTAATAATACTTAGCAAATAATAGTATTTGACCAAGTTTAATTAGTAGTTAGTATTATTTGTTTAAAAGTCAAGCAAATAAGAAGAAAAGTGTAATTTTCTTCTTGGAGAAGAACGAAGACATTGAAGAGAAAAAATAAATAAAATAACATTTTTGTACGTGTTTTTAGAAAATGAAATAAAACCTGAAATTAAATTATCATATCTATTAATTAAATTTAAAACAAAATACAATATAAAGTTATGCCTACCAATTAAACATAAGCTATATACCTATATTAAGCCAATACTCTACTAAATTAGTCAATTGTTACATTAGTAATGAGTAATTCAAATTAAGACACATTTATTGTTGGGTTTTGAATCTTTAAAGATTAAGATTTAAAAATAAAATGTAATGTGAATGAAAAATGGAGGGAAAATTTGAAGTTAAAGTTCACTTTAGATACAAACTTTTTTTTTTCATTGGTAATGAAGATGAGAATTTTGTGTTTTATACTATCGAAATACTTTTTCTAACTCTTAAAGAGTTGAGAAGAAAGTCTCATCTTACACCGTTATCGTTGCTCTCTCGACTTCATTTTTTCACAAATGATTTAATTTAAAGAATTTTGGGACAAAATTTATTTTCCTTTTCACTAATTAATTCAACCCCTCTAAATTTAATTTATTTATTTTTTTGACATATTCAAATTATATAATTTTATTGAATGGACATTGTAACAGAAAACTAACGAGACATTTCACGCCTCATTATTTGTTTATTTGTTTACAATATGTTTAAAAAAAAAGAAACTTAAATTGATTCATAACATGTGTAAGATACGTAACCATCATAAGGTTGACTAATTATTATAACAATAATCAAATGAGAACATATAATTAAAAAGAAACAATTCAAATGATTTTAATTGCATGGTTGTGACCTTAAGGGAGAAAAGTCAGAACATTTGGCTGGGAATATAAGGGAGGAGACTTTGACCTCATCTTATTTAGCATACCATTTGTCTAGTCTTTTTTTAGCTTGATTACAAAGCGTGAATTGAAAAAATCTTCTAAAAGATGGTTATGTCGACATTTTAATATGTTCCTTTCATTGATTGATAATCGGAGCAGTGAGCACTATAGGAAGGTTGCATTGAAACTAGATACAAAGTCCCGTGTCAGTATAGACTTAATAATTATATTAAAAGTGATTTTATGCATTTTTTAATCTTAATTTATGTGACTTTTTTTAATCTGTCTAAAAAAAAGACATATTTTCTTATTTAACAAATATCAATATTTTACTCATATTAGGTCTCATTTATTTAACAAAAAAATCATTATTGATATGAGACCAAACTATTAGTAAAAAACATCTGTAAAATGCTTTTAAAGTATATATAGACATTAAAATTTTAAAAATATTCTCGGAATGGATCAAACACAACAATGAAGAGGTTTGAAATTCCAAAATACCTCGACATGAAGTAGACATATTGATGAAGAAATGTCTGCTTCTAGACTCTTATTAGAATTGACTTATCTAATTCCTAAAATGGGTAAAAATATCATTTACACTCGCCAACTTGCTTTAAAAATCAAGTTCCCTCCTTTGACTATGAATTATAGATATTCTTCCCCTCTATTTTATGCAGCATCTATTTTATTTTTGATATTTTTAATCTTCCATCGATATACAGTAAAATCTTATTAAATTAATACTTGATTAATTAAAAACCCCTCTAACATAATATTTTCTTCCAGTTTTGACTTGGGTCAATGGAAAAAATTACTTGTTTCGATAAGATAATAAGATAATATAT